CTAAACATTCAGTCAGCAATAAAGAAAAAATAAGAAACAATGATCAGAATACATAACAACTATAAGACAAAAAGAGACCAAACTTAAGAATAGTTGGCATTGTGGGAGGAATAGAAATAACAGAAAATATTTCCAAACCTTGGAAACAAGATCAACATCTAGAATCGGGGCGTTTAGAACCCCAAATACATAAAAATCAAAAAAGAACCTCTTCATGACACATTATAATTAAAATTTCAATTATTCAGTATTAAGAACAGAATTTGGAAAGCCTTCAGGAGAATATCAGGGCACAAGTAGATGTACATCAATCAGAATAGCATCTGATTTCTTAAGAAAAAGTCTAAAGTCCAGGAAGGCTTGGAACAACATATTTCAAGCCCTAGAAGAAGGAAAAAAAAAAAAAAAAAAAAAAACTGCTAGCCAAGATTGCTATGTACAGCACAGCTATCACTCAGAAACATAGAGGAAATAAAACCTTTCCAAGATAAGCATAAGATAAAGAACAAAGAAATTAAAAAACAAAAAACACCAGGGCTCAGGAAATGATGATCTGATTAGAAGAGTAGTTCTGCAAATGACAGGACTGAATTAAATATTAGAAATAAAATGGCAGGGAATAATAAACATTTCTCTATAATAACACAATGTAAATGGTCTCAGCTCTTCAATTAAGACATGGACTGCCAGGTGTGGTGGCGCACACCCAGCAGCTGGGGAGGTTGAAACAGGAGGATTGTGAGTTCAGAGGCAGCCTCAGCTACTTATCGAGGAACTAAGCAACTCAGTGAGACCCTGTCTCTAAATAAAATATAAAATGGGGCCGGGGATATGGCTCAGTGATTGCATGCCCCTGAGTTCAATCCCTGGTACAAAAAAAAAAAAAAAAGACATGGACTGACAGATTGGATTAAAAATAAGACCCAACTAACTGTTCTCAAGAGACATGCCATTCATAGACCTCCACAGTCTGAAAGCAAAAAGATGAAAAATGATATTTCATGCAGATGGAGCCTGAAAGAAGCAGGAGTAGCGACCCTTATATCTGACAAAGCACACTTCATGCCAAAATTAATCAGAAAAGGCAAGGTCATTTCATACTGGTAAAGAGAGCAATTCAATGAGAAGATATAATGATAGAAAATATTTTTGCCCCAAACTTTAGTGCACCTAATTACTCAAAAGAAACACTACTCAATACAAAGGTTCAAGTAGACCCTCAAAACAGTAATACTGGGTGATTGCAACACTCAGTTCTCTCACCAATAGAGAAGTGACCCAGACATAAAATTAAGGACACTTCAGATCTAAAAAGTACTCTAAATCAAATGGACCTAACAGACCTCTATAGAATATTTCATCCAAAACATCTGAATTCAGTTGCTTCTAAGCTACTCATGGGACTTTCTCCAAAATAGAACATATTTAAGTCACCAAATAAGTGTTAGCAAATACATATATTTGCTAAAATTTATATATGTACTTGCATATCAGATTATAATGGAATGAAACTAGAAATCAACAGCAACAAAACTACAGAAACACATGTAGATTGAACATACACTTTTGAATGATGAATCATAGAATAAATCAGGAGAGAAATTTTAAAATTCTTAAGCGTCAAATGAGAATAGAGATATACCGCACCAGAAACTGAGACACTATGAAGATGGTTCTAAGGAAGAAAATCGATAGCTTCGAGTACCTACATTTAAAAAAAAAAAGAAAGATTCCAAATAAACTTAATGATTCATCTCTTGTTATGAAATCACATAACAAGAAAAACAAGAACAAACCAACAACAAAATGAATCAGAGGAAGGGAATAATTGAGAGCTGAAATTAATAGAGTTAAAAACACTACAAAGAAACAATGTAACAAAGAGGATTCTTTGAAAAGATAAAAAAGATGGATTAATCCTTAGCCAAACTGACTAAAAGAAAGACCCAAAGTAATAAAATCACAGATGAAAGAGGAGATATCACCACAGGTATCAGTGAACTACAGGGAACTTTTGAAAATTTACATTTCCAAGTTATACATGTCTAGAAACGGATACATTTCTAGACATGTATAACCTACCAAAATTGAACCAAAGAACATAGAAAAACAGACCAATAGCAAGCAATGAGATTGAAGCAGTCATAATAAATTCTTCCAGCAAAGAAAGCTCAGGACAAAATTATTCTCTGCTAAATTCTGCCAAACATTTAAAGGAGAGCTAATACTATTACTTCTCAAATTATTTCTTGAAATAGAAAGGGGGAAGCACTTTAAAATTTATTTGATGAAGACAGTATCACACTGATAGCAAAAGTAGATAAGGATATATAAAGTAAATAAAACTGTACACTAATAATCCTGATGAACATAGGTGTAAAAGTCCTTAATGAAATGTTAGCAAATCACATTTAAAAACATACTAAGAAAGTTGTACATCATGACCAAGTTGTTTTCATTCCAGTGTTGCAAGAATGATTCAACATATGCAAACCAATAAATGTAATTCACCATGTAAGTAGAACTAGGGACAGAAATCACATGATCATCTTAATAGATGCAAAAATCAAAAGAAAATAGTATATACACACAATGTAGTTTTACTTTGCCATGAAGAATGAAATTATGTCATTTGAAGGAAAATGGATGGAACTGGAGACATCATGTTAAATGATATGAGCCAGACTCAGAAATCCAAGGGTCATATGTTTTCTCTCATATGTGAAAGCTAGAGAGAAAAAAAGGCAAGTCTCATGAAAATAGAAGGGAGTTAAAGCATGGAATCATGGGGATGGATGAGGGAAGAGAGGAGATACTCAAGAATTAGACTGAGCAAATTATGTAATCTACATGTACAAATATATCACAGTGAATTCTACAATTGTGTATCTTTACAGTGAGTCAATGAAAAAATATTTTAAGGTTCATATACACAGCAGTTCTAATTTAAGATTCATATGATATGGCAATTCTTTTCCTAGGTATATAGCCAAGAGAAATGAAAGCACATTTACACAAAAATCTAAACAAAAATGTTCATAACAGCTTCAACAGTAGAAACAAATCAGATGTCCATCACATAGTTGAGTGGACAAACAAAACGAGTATATCTATGCAATGGTATATTATTTAGTCACAAAAAGGAATGATTCATGTTGCAGCATGAATAGACCTTGAAAATATCATGAGGACACATATGATTTCATTTTTATGAAGTATTCACAGTAAGCAAATCTGTATAAACAGGTAGTAAATTAGTTGCCAGGCCTAGGGGCACAGGAGAAAAAGGAGTGACTGCTAATAGATATGAGGTGGTTTTGGGGTGATAAAAATGTTTTTATTTAGACAGGTACAATTCATAACTTTATGAATATAGTAAAAACTACTGAATAGTACATATTGAAGGGTGAATTTTATGGTATATGAATTATGTCAATAAAAAATTTTTATCAGTGTTTGCTTTCCCAAATTAAAAGGTATTCTTTTAATGAAATTGTAAGAAGTTATTTTTTATAGTTAATGCCAGGACTTTCCAGAGAAATTAAATACCAACACTGACATTATCCTTAAAGCCTTGCTATATATTAATTAAAGTGTAATATGCATTGTATGAGACTTACTCAATCTGAACGTGAGTTACCTTTACCAATGGTAAGAGTGCCAAGAATGAAGTGGCTGATAGCAGATGTCTGGCACTTATATTCTACAGTTACACTTTGTTGCTGTCACAGTAGTGAAATGACCCGTGTGAAAAGTATTTTAAGGTTTATCTTAGAAATATCAGTTACAAAAACCTTTTAATAGTGGAAAGATTATTATGGAGTCAAACATAAACTGGCTAGTTTTATGTTTGACTGAGACTTACTAGCAGCTTATTCCTTTTAAAGAAATTACTTGATGTCTATGAGCCTCAGGTTCCTCATATACAAAATACCTTATGGAGCTATAGTGTGGATTAAATGAGATACCATGAATAAAATGGATTATGTTCTTTGATTCCCTGTCCTGCACATACTCTATCTCTCCCAGACTTTACCTCCTATGCCGTACACACACACACACACACAAACATACAAACACAAAATTAGGTCTCTTTTTTGTATATTCCCATTGAACCTGGAGATTGCCCTAATGAAACACTTGATGTACTCTATTGAATGTTTATTTGCTTGTCTTCCTCGAGAAACTGTTAGTTGATGTATTCCCATTACCTCATATAGGACTAGCTCAATAAATATTTGAATAAATGAATTTCAATAACATACACCATTATACTGGGTTCATAATAGCTCCCTAAAAAAGATATAATGTATCTTTGTTTTGTTTTTTGTTAGAACACAGTCAACCTGAAGTATTTACCATACAAATTTACAATATGTGGTGGTTTATATGTTAAGTAGAAATGTTTTTATTACGAATTATACCTATGGAATGAAGAGAATGTTCGTTTTCTGTATTGCAGTATACAATTTGTAGTTCTATATTTATCTTCACAGTTTGTACATTTACTGTCTTGTAACATCCAAATAGGTATATTTAAAATTTTGTTTTAACAAGTGTCTCAAAAATTTGTACTTTAATATGCATGTTTATACCATTTTTCTTCATCTGACACTATTTAGACTTAGAGTGAAATAGAAAGCTTAAAAACAATGCTCTAGACTTAAGAAAGCCTATGAAAAGCATAGGAAATAAATCATTTTAAGCAACATAACTGATACTTGCTCTATTTTTGTCCTTAATGCCTTATAAAATAATATTAATAATAGATAATAATTTTTTGTATGAAAGAAATGAAAAGAGTAAAATGAGGAAGTTTATCCTTATGTTCTCTGGACTTACATATACCTATCTAAATTATTTATAAAGCTTTGCTGAATAAATATAAATTATGAACTGCATAATATGAGGGTATAGAAAAAGTAGATGTAAGGTTTATGTTTGTATAAGTCATCAGGAATGCTCATTTTAGAGACTTACAGCCATTCTACTTCTTTCAGGTACAGAGAACTACAACTTAGTACTGAAAGCAAAGTAACAGAATTTCTCCATCAAGCTAAATTAAAGTCTTTTGAAAGTGAGCGTGTTCAACTTGTACAAGAAGAAACTCTAAGAAATCTTACACAATGTCAGCTGGAATGTGAAAAATATCAGAAAAAATTGGAGGTATTTATATACAGTTTTCTTTCAACATTAGATTGCATGCAAGCTCCCTAGGTACAAAGTTTATAGAGAGTTTTATGTTTCCTGGAGGACCTCATTGTCCTTAAAAAAAACAAAAAGTGTGTATGTGTATGTGTATTCATGTGTGTGCACTTGCGCATGTGCGTGCACACACATATATTTCAGAACAATATACATCAGAAAGTACTGGAAGTATTAGAAAACAGGTTGGGGAAAGATCTTATACACAATAGCAACCCAAAACACAACTACTTTTAATAAGAAAAATGAAATCTATATCTAGAAAACTATAGAGCTTCACTGACATTTGTAAAAAGAAATATTTTCTATAAGGGAATATTCAGTATTAATATATTTTTCAGTTTTCATCAAATAATATTATATATTTATTACTTTTTATTTTTTTGGTACTGGGGATTGAACTCAGTGGTACTCAACTACTGAGCTACATCCCCAGCCCTATTTTGTATTTTATTTAGAAATAAGGTCTCACTGAGTTGCTTAGTGCCTCACCAGTGCTGAGGCTGGCTTTGAGCTTGCAATACTCCTGTTTCAGCCTCCCAGGCCACTGGGATTACAAGTGTGCACCACCATGCCAGGCACATATAAATAAATAAATAAAAAGAAAGGTATTGTGTCCGACTATTAAAAAATAAATATTAAAAAAAAAAGATTTTTTTCAAAGGAAATACACTTTACATTTAAAAATACATTCAGAAGAAAGAATAATTAAAACATAAAAGACCTATAAATGATATGAAATAAAAACCCCCAAAATATATTTACATAAGTTTAATAATTTTTATAGTAAGAATCGAATCAGTGAGGGAAGTATAGATTGAATAATAAATGGTGCTGTGGTAATCATTTGAGTATATAGGGAAAACAATTGTATCTGTCCTTCATACCATTACCAAAATAAAAGCCAAATAAATTACTGAGCTGAATGTATATATGGAATTTTAAACTGTTTAAGTAATTATAGATAAAATTTTGCTTTATATCAGTTTGGGAATTAATCTGATATTCTGTTGATTAAAGCAAAGAAATGAATATTAGAAAAATAGAACTCGTAGGTTAAAGAAACTGAATAGCATTATAGGCAAAATGGAAACTGGAAAATACTATTTGTAGTATTATGATAAAGGACCTATTTCATTTTAAAAGATTTCTTATCAAGAGAATATGTTTTCCTATTCTAGGTATATAGGTAAAAAAAAAAGAAATGCACCTTTTTCAACCTGAACTCATATTGTTAATAAATAGATGAAAATATATGCATTCTCATTGAAAATTCAAGAAATATAAATTTAATTTTTATTTATGTTTATGTAGATATATGTGTTATTTTTTAATGTGCTGGCAAGAGTGCCCTTAAGTGGGAAGTCTCACATAATAACAAAATGGAATAGCCCTTCTAGGGGACAATATGGTAATCTGTGTATGTGATCTTAGAATATTGAACAGCAATTTCAGTTAAGGGAATTTTACCTAAGGAAATAATGAGATGCTTATAAAGATTTGTATTAATGATGTACATCACAATATTATCATATAAAAATTGTAAATAACTTAATAAAAATAAATATTCAACAGTAGATAATGAAACAGTTTTAGTTACCACATTTTGAATTACATATTTTGTTGTGTCTATTCACTATATGATTGTATACAATCATGTTCTTGACTGTTTTAGATTTGAGGAAAAATTAAAACATTGAATGAGAGATGCAATTATGTCATCAGCTTGATCTTGACTGCAGGTTGCATATTTAGTAACAACCATTAATGAACATACAAAAAAAAGATTTGAAGGAAAATATGCCAAAATATTAAAGTGGTATGGTTATATTTTCTTCATTTTCCTCACTAGTTAGTAAGTTCCATGATGACAGGCTGAATCTTTTTTAAGTGATCAATATATTCCCAGGTCCTAGCCAGAATCTTGGCACATAGTTAATTGGATTGATAGTGTTCAGTACTTTCTAATTGGTTGTCTGTTGGGCAATAGGCACTGTACTAGGCATTGATATACACACAAATTTTAATGAGAAATTAATTTCTCTGCATAAAATGAATAGTTTCAAATGGGGCTTTTTTGTTGTTGTTTGGGGGAGTTGTTTGTTTTTTCTTAGTTGGGGTTGAACCCAGAGACATTCTATCACTGAGCTATATCCCCAACCCTTTTTATTTTTTATTTTAAGCCAGGATCTCACTAAGCTACCCAGGCTGGCCTCAAATTTGTGATCCTCCTGCCTCAACCTCCAGAATAGCTAGGATTACAGCCACCCACACCTAGCCTTGAACAGGACTTTGAATAGAACTTAATCTTTATATTGGAAATGTTCTCTATCTGTGCTATCCAGTTCAGTAGCTACTGGTCACCTGAGGGCATTCAGCAATTAAAATATGGCTAGTGCTACTGACAACCTAAATTGATTTTTAGCTTAATTAAATCAAATCTAAATTTGCTTATCCACAAATGACTCGTTAACAGTAGAGTACATGCTCTAGAAAATTAACATAATCACTTATGCCCTTACTATTGGACAGCAGTGAGGTTTTGACTACTTTTCTCTTGAATTTTATACTTAAGAAAAATGGAAACTCTTTTCCGCCCTGATAGAATTTCTTATAGCAACATTGGGTAGTAGTTAGACCTGTGAGCTTTCAAGTCAACAGAACTAAGATTTGAATCCAAATTAGTGACTCCTTTTTGAATAAATTACTCATTTTGTTTGAGTCTCAGTTTTTTCATTAGGCAAATAGGTCTAATAGTATTTTGGGCACAAATAAATCATTAGTGTATTCTTAACAAGTATTAGAAGTTCTCAAAATATTCTCCTTTGATGCTATAAAATTTTGGCTTTGGTAATGTTAGGAAATGTTAAGTAAATGAAAGCATCCCTTCTCAAAAGATAAATATTTGTAAAAGGATAATTGGATTTTTTTTTTTTTTACTTTTCAGATTTCTCAGTCATGTGCTATCTAAACCCAAGCATTTACACTTCCAATTTTCCTTTCTACATATGAAAACTTGTTTTAGTTATGAAAATATATAATTTTAGATGATCAAACAGAAGTTGGAGGCAAAGAAACTGAAAGTTAATTTAAAACCTTTCTTAATTAAAAATTTATCAGATATTAAAGCATTATCCCTAAATATATATATAAGGTATCACATAATAGGATAAATGTCACAATATACAACCATTTGTAAATCTGCAAATATATGTGGTGTGTGTGTGTTACACACATGCATACGTACATATTCAAATATCAAAATAATTCTTTTTTTAAGTATTTATTCTTAAGTTTTAGGTGGACATAATATCTTTATTTTACATTTACGTGGTGCTGAGGATCGAACCCAGTGGCTCGTGCATGCTAAGCGAGCACTCTACCTCTGAGCCACAACCCCAGCCCCCCAAAATAATTCTTTTTAACTATTTTTATTTACCTATCCTCACAAAACTACTTTTAAAGATCTGAAATGATTTTATTGTTTTTGTAAAACAATTTGGCATTGAGCATTTATAATGATATGTCTTAAATATGTAAAAAGCTTCATGCACAGATATTCATTGTGGTATTATTTATAATAGCAGAGAACAAAAAACTATAAAATCCTATTATTGAAGAATGGTAACATTAAAAAATGTTTTTGTGTAATTAACATTTTAAGATCAATTGATTATTTTAAGACCACACAGTAACATGTAAAATACACTTTTATAATAATATAAGGTGAAAACAGCCCTTTACACAAGTGTATACATTAGATTTTTTAAAATGTCTGTAGGGTATCTTGAAGAAATGTACCATAAACTTAATAGTAGCTGTAATTGATTAATAAATAGCCCATACCAGGTGAGTTGGGGCATGTCTATAATCCCAGCAGCTCAGGAGGCTGAGGCAGGAGGATCTCAAGTTCAAAGCTGGCTTGAGCAACTTAGGGAGACCCTATCTCAAAATAAAAAATGAAAAGGGTTGGGGATATGGCTTAGTATCTAAGCACACCTGGGTTCAATTCTCCATGCCAAATAATAATAATAAATAAAATGAGTAGACCATGGGTAGGTTTATGCTTTATTTCTACTTTTTTGTTCATAGAAAAGTTGAATTACTTAGGGGGTTGGGGATTAAAATTATGGCATTTGCAGGTAAATGGGTGGAGTTAGAGAAGATGATGCTAAGTGAAGTTAGCCAATCCCAAAAAAAACAAACGCCAATTGTTTTCTTTGATATAAGGCGGTTGATTCATAGTGGGATAGGGAAAGGGAGCATGGGAGGAATAGATGAACTCTAGAATAGGGCAGAGGGGTGGGAGGGGAAGAGAGGGGTTATGGGGTTCTAAACGATGGTGGAATGTAATGATCATTATTATCCAAAGTGTAAATACGAAGACACAAAAAATAAATAAATAAATAAATAAATAAAAAGTTGAATTACTTAAGGACTGCAAAATTGACAAGTAACTGAGTCATTGTAATTGGGAGCTCACATCTGATCAGACTGACCTCATACCTCGTAGTTTTGACCACTACATTATTCAAGAAATAATTAAAAGTGTTTATTGCAATAATCCCTGACCGATTACACTTTTGGAAAGTTCGCTGATTAGTAAAACTAAGTTTAACAAGATAAGGGATCTCAGGACTGGGAGTGGCTGGGCACAGCTGGGCATGAAGGTACATGCCTATAATCCCAACTACTGGAGAGGCTGAGGCAGGAAGATTGAAAGTTGGAGGTCAGCTCAATAATTTAGCAAGACCCTGTCTCAAAATAAAAAACATAAAGGGCTAGGGATGTAGCTCAGTGGTAGAGTGCCCTGGGTTCAATCCCAGTACTGTAGGGTGGGGATGGGGTGGTGGATAAAGGGTCTCAGAAAATAAAACCTTAGTGAAAAATACAAAAATGGTTATTGAATATATGTATGATTGAAAAAAACAAGAAAAAGTTATAGATGGTATCTTCTTCTAAAGCAAATCAATGTTCAGCACTTAGAACTTTTTTCATATACCTTCTTCAGGAAACTCCTGCAGTCATAATCTGATTCTCCCACACAATTTCAGATAATCTCACAATTTAGCTATTATTGGGTATTTGTCTTTTGCAAGTTGCATTTTCCATAGTTTAATTTTAATGGTTCCTAGCAAAACATCTTTTCTTTTCCTTTTCACATTGAATCACTGTGTTTAAGAATGTTTCTTGGAGCTGGAGCTAGGTGATAGATGGTAACTATTTATATTTAAAAACACAGAAGCACAGCTCTTTTGGTACTCCTGAAAACAAAAAAGCCTCACAAACCAATACTTTATCACACAAATAATGCTCAGGACATACAGAACTGATGTTTTCCAAACAATTCTCTAAACCAAACCTCCTAAAGGTTGCAACCTAGAATTTGAAAAACACCGTCCACTTAGTCTGTGGATATAGGTAACTAGTAATTTTTATATTCATTTATTTAAAGGTCTTATATGGAGAAGCACAGTTTGGGGGCAATTTCTTTACATTTTCTCCATTTGTTACCCTGAGGTCTTGAAGTGTCAGGGACTATTCATTTACCATTGTGTCACCAGTGCCCAACACAGTACTTCCCCCATGGCAGATGCTTGTTAAGTATTTAACGAATGAAAGAATGGTTTGATTAAGGCTAATATAGTTCCATTTTTTAAATCTTTTTAACTCTGAAAAGTATTTGTTTCTGAGACAATCTTATTTATAATGAAGTGAAATAATTTCATGAAAGGTAAAAATTATGGATTTATAGAAATTTTACTCAATATTTTTATTGATTTTTAACTTGGGAATGATTTATTTTATTTTTGCTTTAATCATTAATTTATTGGCAAAGGCTCCCAAATACCAGTCTCTTTTTGAAGCAGTTTTGACACATAATTATATATTATCATTCGGTTAATACATCTATTATGTAAGGGAAGGAATCTCCCACTGTGTGAGCTTGATATTTAATCATTTCCTCAAAGTAATTTACCTATTTTATATCTCCATGTTTAAATTCATATGTTGTTTTTTCTTCTAAAGCATCTTTAATATAATACCCCTCCATAGGTCAAATAATCAAGTTTTGGGGGGGTTTTTTTTTGTTTTGTTTTGTTTTGTTTTGGCTTTTCAGAAGCAATAATAAATTTATTCCTAGGAGTCACTCCTCCATGCTAGGAAAAGAAGATTATAGGTTATATTTCTCAATTTATTACTTTTTAAATCTTTTCTTAAAATAATACTTTATGAAATAGCCCATCTTTGACATTTTGATTCTTTATCTCTTTAGATAGTCTATTTGTGTAATTTCTCTTTGTGTGATTTCTTTGGGGGCGGGGGGGATACAGATGAAAAAGTATCAGCTATACATTAGGAGAATAGTTATTTAACACTATCTTTATTCACCCTGTCTTTAACAGTAGAATTTATCAGTATTATCAGCCACTAGATTATTTATAAATTACACCCCAATGTAATGAAATCCATGAAGGTCTCAAATTGTTCTACTAAGCAATGCTTTTTTTTATAATAAATTACAAAATTTCTAGAAAGCACATTCCTAGCCAGCAAGAAGAAAGAAAAAATAATGCTAAAACAGTGAATTTTTGTTTTTCTGACCCAAAGACACTAAAAATTATCCTAAAAATATTATTCCCATGTTATTCCTTCTCCGCCCTCCAAAGGAGTGTATTTGAAAGGTGGAGGACAAAGTTTTATTTGCTTTTGGAAGAAATTTTGTTGAAAATTGAAGGAGATGACATGGAGTGAGTTAAAGGAACATTAAATTGTAGTTTCTGCTCATTAAGAATTGTAAATCTTCTTTATCTTCTGTGTCATCTTGTTCTACATCACAGAAAGCATATAATCATATACAGTCGTTAAGGTGAACTTCATGTCATTAAAGAAAGTAAGTTGTCTTCAGAAGGATTAATTATAGAGAATTCAGGATAATTAAATCATTGGAGTTCTATTTCCATGAGCTATTTAATACAAAGTTCTCATAATTCTATTTCTTATGGTAATAGCAGTATTTTTGCTAAGCACTATAAATTTAGCATCTCATTTAATCTTCCAACAATGCTATGTGGTATAAAGAAAGAGTAACTAATTGCCTACGATCACAGCTACTAGGTGTTAAAGTGATACTGAAATCCATGTCTTTCTGGCTCCAAACCATACTCTTAAGCATAATCTTCTTTTACCTCTCATGAAACAGTATATTACTCATGCTGTATTAGGGATAGTAACACTCCATGATTTAGTCAGTATCTAGTATATAAATTTTCTAGATAATGGAAATTTACTTTAAGCATTAAAACAGTGCTTCGTCACTGGAAGCATCTATTTTTTTTAGCTAATTCATTGTTATGATCATAGCGATTTCTTCAGTGAGTAACCATTGAAGAATGTAGGATTCTTTTGACCTTATACAAAATTCCAATTCTTTTGCATCTCTTTTTTTTTTTATAGTTTAATTATTTTTTTTATCTTTTTTTTATTTTTTTTATTTTTATTTTTATTTTTTTTAATTTTTTATTGTTGGTTGTTCAAAACATTACAAATTTCTTGACATATCATATTCTACACTTTGATTCAAGTGGGTTATGAACTCCCACCTTCACCCCATACACAGATTGCAGAATCACATCAGTTACACATCCATTGATTTACATATTGCCATACTAGTGTCTGTTGTGCTCCGCTGCCTTTCCCATCCTCCACCATCCCCCCTCCCCACCTCTCCCTTCCCCTCCCCTCCTCTCTCTCTACCCCCTCCACTGTATAACCCTGAGGGTCTCCTTCCATTTCCATGCAATTACCCTTCTCTCTCCCTTTCCCTCGGGTCTCTTTTTTAAACTTTTTAAAATTCTTTCTTTCTTTACAAAGGCATTTTCTGATACTGCTCCAAGCAGTACTTCACATTTACCTTTTGATTTGTTGCTTTGAATTTATGACTGTTCAGGAAACCCAAGATGTTATTAAAACCATGGAAAGAGTAGATTAAATAAGCTCTGATGGAAAACTGTAGGACTCATTGTGAGTATATTATTTTTACACACAGTTTTGTAAGCCTTATTCAAATGCCTGTGATTGCTGATAAATGACCTGCAGGTAAGTTTGATGTTGTTATAGTTTTTAATTCTAAAAAAGCAAATACTAATATTGCGCCTATAACTATTTGTGAGTTTTAAATTTATTTTTATTCAGCTTATATAAGAAAAAATATTTAATAATTTTCAGTTTAAAACAACTGATTTACTTTAGAAACAAATGTATTTTATTTCCTCATAAGGCATCTCAATTGAGCTACTTTCTGTTAATATTTAAATAATTACAGAGAGAAAATATATCTTTGTGTCATGTTTTTGTCTTAACTGTGAACCTATTTCTTAATTCTGTGAACCTTTGTAATTCTTTTCTTCCACTATTAGGTTTTAACTAAAGAATTTTATAGTCTCCAAGCCTCTTCTGAAAAACGCATTACTGAACTTCAAGCACAGAATTCTGAGCACCAGGCAAGGCTAGACATTTATGAGAAATTGGAAAAAGAGCTAGATGAAATAATAATGCAAACAGCAGAAAGTAAGTCTCCCTGCATTTCCCATCCCCCCCTCCCAACACACATATAGTCTTTTTTTCTGGCAACAGGAGGAACCTGACATCATTTCTAGAACTACTTTGGTATATATTTCCTTAAAATATAATTGGTGACCATATTTTAAAGAATACTCCATATTTCAAGTATTATTTCATGTTAACTTTGAACAGATGAAATTAAAAATAAGTTAAATGTGATACATTTTAGTCAACAATTAAGTATTTTCATTTATCAAGAAATAAGGATATACAGGAATCAATAAATAGGATTATATCAAACGAAAAAGATTCTTCACTGCAAAGGAAAAAATCAAGAACATGAAGAGAGAACCTACTGAATAGGAGAAAATCTTTGCCCACATGCACCTCAGATAGAGGATTAATCTCTAGGATATATAAAGTACTTAAAAAAATTAACACCAAAAAAGCAAATAACCTGATCAAAAAATGGGCAAAGGAACTAAACTGACACTTCATAGAAGAAGAAATACAAATGGTCAGCAAATATACTTAAAAATGTGAAACATCAGCAATTAGAAAAATGCAAATTAAAACTACACTGAGATTTTACCTTAATGCAGTCAGAATGGCAATCATTAAGAATATAAATAACAACAAATATTGGCAAAGATGTGGGGAAAAGGGTACACTCATATATTGCTGATGGGACTGCAAATTGGTGTAACAACTCTAAAAAGCAGTATGGGGATTCCTCAGAAAACTTGGAATGGAACCACCATTTGACCCAGTCATCCCACTCTTCGGCATATATCCGAAGAACTTAAAATCAGCATACTGTAGTGACACAGCCATATAAATGTTCATAGAAGCTCAATTCACAATAGCTAAGCTATGGAACCAAGCTAGGTGCCCTTCAATAGATGAATTTGCAGCCATTTTAGAGAGATAAGAGTCAGATATGTATCTCAATTCTAGTCTAGTTCTTGTAGAGTTGAACTGGAGATCATCTTGGATCTAGAAGATATCTGATAACTGGTAACAATATTAGCAATGACATTTATCATCTCTTCTATGTATCCTTCTCAACTAATAATTAACTTAATAATTCTATCTCTGAAAGCTGATCCTGATTTACCATGAAAGAACAAAATTAAGGGAAAACAGTTATTAATATTTCTAAAATCTTTACAGTACTACAGAAAGACCAGTCAGCAATTATGTGCACAACATATTGTGATGGTGCAAATAGTCAAGCTTCATTTATGATATGGTACTTGGCTTTATTTTAAATTGGAAATACTCCTGAATTTAGAGTTCTCCTTTTAAACAGTAAAATGATTGCTGTTGATAGATAGTTATAAATGTTTTTATAATCTTTGCCTTAATTCAAGCTAGTAAAACTTCAGTTTTTGTAATCATCAGTGAAATTTTTTTAATCCTAACTTGTAGTAAAATTTATTGAATTGAAATTTTTTCCCACAAGATATTAACCTGTTAGTTGAAAAAAAATTAGGATGTGGTGTGACAGTGGCAGAATTTAGAAATAAATTATTTTCTCTGAACTTTTTGAGTTACTAATTTTAGTCTATCAGTATATGCTTAGAACTACACATTTTATTCCAAGTAGCCTACTTGAGTGTATAACTTTGCTATTGTAAGTTGAAATTAAGTTGTTATTTTGAGAAAATAATGAATATATTTCCTAATTAATCATTTTTTACCAAGAAGAGAATTAATGAATTGATATTATCATTATTTGTCATTTTATAGCATATATTTCACATAAAAAGCCTTTAAATCCTTCAGAATACTGCATCTGCGTTGTGCATTATAACAAGAAAACTTAACATGTCATATGAGGTAATCCCTTAATACTTTCTAAAAAGTAAATCAAACAAATCCAAACAAGGGTATACTTTTAGAAATATCCTTCTACTTGCAAATGGGCTGTTTTGAGATTGCACATTAGTCCTTTTTAATGTTGTTGTGCTTCCTAATTCATTATTAACTCTTTTATCTTCACTTCTGTCATGCTTTTTATGGGGGGGAAAATTCTTTCACATCACACACTTCAATATTTTCCAGTTGAAAATGAAGATGAGGCTGAGAGGATTCTTTTTTCCTATGGCTATGGTGCTAATGTTCCCACAACAGCCAAAAGACGACTAAAGCAAAGGTAAAATCAATATATATTTATCTTACTTATCTACTCAAGCTAAATGTAATTACATTGTACATTTTGATAATGTGCTCACTTGAATGACAAAGTAAAGTTACTTTGTTCTTAGTATGCATAAATATTAAATTGCTCACAAAATACAGTAATTGTCATGCATTTCATGTATATTTAAGTGAATTTAATGTTTGGTAGACTAGAGGTGTACATTAGAATTTTCATAGAATTAAATTCAGTGATAAGAATACCATTTTTATTTTATTTTCACATTAATTTCAGATAATACAAATGCAATAATTTTCAGATTAGAACTAATTAGTTATACTTCCCTTTTTTTTCTCTTTTTGCTTTGTTTGGTTTTTGTTTCCTTTTTTATTCACATGTCTACATTCCTTGACATATACTTTAGAAAGAGTGAGTGATATAGTGGTAGCATATATATTGTGACTAAAACAATAAAAGGCTTCTTGAAGACCAAGAAAATTTTTAGAATATCTACTAGTTATGTGGTGAGATATTGCTTTAAAGTACCCTAACAGGGATTGGGATTGTGGCTCAGTGGTAGAGCCTTTGCCTCAAACATGTGAGACACTGGGTTTGATTGTTGGCACAACATAAAAATAAATAAATGAAATAAAGGTATTGTGTCCATCTACAATTTAAAAATATAATTTTTTTAAAAGTCCACTAACAGAAAATTATACCTTTAATAATCATTTTCTAGTTGGCCTGTCTGATGTTTTTCCTAACTCCTCTTTCCCTAAATTCATCCTGTTTTCCAAAAATATCTCATAGCTCACTTTGCTGCCACATCAAATCTGAATGTTTCAGTGAGACTTCTAAAGCCCCTCCATAATGTGGCCCCACCTCATCATTCTTATTTGCCTCTCTACCCAAAATGAGAGTAGATCTCTCTCTCTGCCTGTAAACATCTATTCTGTCTGTACCTTAGGAAAGCATTTCATTTATCTCATTACCTATCATTTCCCATGTAATTTCCCCAGCTAGATGAAAAGTTCTTCAAGGTCAGCAACGACATCTTTTTCTTATTCTCTGTCGCTGCCTAGTTCAATGCAGAGTACCTAGTAAGGTACTTGTTTCTTCATCTTTTTCATCTTTGAGGATTCAAAGCTTTTTGTTATCTATTATTTTTATGTAAATTAATTCAAACATTTAGAGACATTACAAAATAACTAAGAAAAACAATCCATTTTACTTCTGATACTTCTGTAGGAACTTTGAATGATAACCCAAAGAATGAAATATCTTTATGGTTATCTAAAGTTGTATAGGATATAGACCACTTTAGAGGAAATAACAAAAGGATACTTAGAACTTGTGTTTTTTACTGGTTAAACTGAATATTTAAAAAATTTACTTCAGGGTTAGGTGAATAATTTGTAACTAGGGTGGTCCTTCCTTCCTTCCTTCCTTCCTTCCTCCCTCCCTCCCTCTCCCCCTCCCTTCCTTCCTTCCTTTTTGACATATTATACACAAATGGAGCATAACTTCTCATTCCTCTGGCTGTACTTGGTACACAGTCACTCCAGTAGTGTAATCATGTATATAGGGTAATTATGTCTGTCTCATTCTACTGTCTTCCCATCCCCACAGCCCCATTCCTTTCCTCCCCTCACTCCCCTCTACACAAACCAAATGAATGATTAATTCTTCCTGGTGAAGATTCAGGTATTTCTAATTTATGTATAATTTGAAATTGGTAGTAGTCCTATCGCTTTCTGATCCCTCCAGTGGCCACTATGAATGAACTAGGATATTTTAATTTTAAATATGAGGGGAGGGGAAGGGAGGGGGGATAGTAGAGGATAGGAAAGGCAGCAGAATACAACAGACACTAGTATGGCAATATGTAAATCAATGGATGTGTAACTGATGTGATTCTGCAATCTGTATATGGGGTAAAAATGGGAGTTCATAACCCACTTGAATCAAAGTGTGAAATATATATCAAGAACTATGTAATGTTTTGAACAACCAACAATAAAAATTAAAAAAAATAAAAAATAAATATGACTCTGTTTTAACGTCCACTGTTGCCTAGAGAAGAATAGAAGCATAGTTTCATGGGTAAGAGACTTCTCTAATATCAGGAAATCACAGGTAAAATACTGAAAACTGAAGTTTAATAGAAAACTTACATTTTCTTCTCTATTTTAACATCTGAATTCTTCAAAAGAATCTTTGTTACAAGAAAAATAGGATTTTGCTTTTGTAAGCTTGCTTTCCTTAGCCCCAAATACTGAGTTTTCTGAAACTGAAAGCAATTATTGCTGCAACAGCTTACTATTTTTTTTAAGAATTTCCAAAAACAGTAGTTGATTTCTTAATATTAAAAGAATTAAAGAACCACAACTGATTCATATTCCAAATCATCTTAACTGTCCAAATATTTCTAAAGATTTTATCACCGAGCTATCTATGTGCCTTGAACAAGTGCCTAATGGGTGTGCTATTAATATGTCCTGCCAGCTGGTGCCAGGCATTCTTCTCATGGTGAGCCAGAGGGTTATTTTGAGGAAGTGTTTCTCAGGTCATCTAAACTGAGGGAAGGGAAAGTAAGTCAAGATATCTAAAGAGGGAATTTATACATTCCTGTGTTCATTATTAAGTGCCTACTGTATGCGCAAAGTTGACCAGAGGCACAAAAGATCCCACTTTAGAGTCTGATGCATTTCCAAAGTTTGCAAGGCACATATTTGATTTCTTAAGGGATATCTGTAAAGAAGGCTTTGTGCTCTCTTTAAGTTATTAAAGACTAAAACAAGATAGCCTTTGAATGGATCCATACTTCACATTTAAAGCAATAAACATTGAAGGTGAATTATATTTAGGATGACTCAGATCAGTAATTGAAATCCTTACATAATAAAGTTTTCATCAGATATCAGCCTACACCAAAATATATCAAAATTTCAATGGAACCCACATCCTAACTACTATATAATATTTTTCATCCATAATAAATTTGATTTTAAAATTTTATTTCATTAGACAGAATTAGGTAGTTTAGAGTAACACTTAATAGGAGGGAGGTTTCTGGTTCTAAATATGTTTGTTTTTAAAATTAGGAGAATTGTTGGTGATTCCACCATCCAAAATAACCATTTAGAAATTAAAAATATATAGATATATATATACACACACACATACACACTTTCTTACATGTGTAGGATAGTGTGTATTATTTAGTAGTTTAACCTTTTTCTTTTGGGTATTAGGGATTGAACCCAGGGGCAAACTACCACTTATTGATGTCCATAGCCCATTTTTTTTTTTTTTTTTTTTTACTTTTATGAAACAGGGCTTTGCTAAATTGCCTAGGCTGGCCTCCAATTTGTAATCCTTCTCTTTACCTTCTTGAGAAACCAGGATTACAGATATGCTCAACCATGCCCAGCTAATTCTAGCATTTTATCCTGAACATATTTTTGTCAATAAATATCCTTTTTTGGGGGGGTAGGGGGCACCAGGGATTAAACTTAGGGGTGCTTTCCCAGATATTTTTGTTTGTTTGTTTGTTTGTTTGTTTATTGTTTTTTTGAGATAGGGTCTTGCTAAATTGCTTAGAGTCTGGTGATCCTTCTGCCTCATCCTCCCAAGTCACTGAGATTACAGGTCTATGCCATCACACCCTTGTCAATGAATATTCTTCAAAAAAAGATTATTTTCAATATTTATACAAAACTTTAAATTTTAGGACTTCTGTTTTTGAATAGACTTCTGGTTGAGGCCATAAAATTGGACAGCCAGTGAACATTTTCATAAGTTTCCTGTTGCTACCCCAACAATAATATGAGATTAAAATGAGAAAATAGATACGAAGTTCGCCACACAGTGCCTGACAGTAGAGTTCAGTAAATGTTAATGGGTTATATCAAGTAATATCTTCTCTTTTTTAAATATTTTTTGGTTGTAATTAGACACAATACCTTTATTTTATTTACTTATTTTTATGTGGTGCTGAGGATCAAACCCAGGGCCTCGCACGTGCTAGACGAGCGCTCTACTGCTGAGCCACAACCTCAGCCTAAGTAATATCTTCTTAAAGTACCTTACATGGTTACACAATTTAAGCATTTATTTAAAATGATTTTTAAATTTTTTTTATTGTTGTGATGACAGCTGCTGAATTTTATTGGTTGCTCAAAACATTACAATGATCTTGACATATCATCTATCATACATTTGATTCAAATGGGGTATGAGTTCTTATTTTTCCCACGTGAACAGATTGCAGGATCACATTGGTTATACAGCCATGTTTATACATACTGCCATACTAGTGTCTATTGTATTCTGCTGCCTTTCCTATCTCCTTCCTATTTTTAAAAAATTTTAATGAGGCTTTTAAATATGAAACATAGACACAAAACTATTTTGATATTCACATTCTTTAATATCAGTTTTTAAGATACAGTGCGGATTTTCTATATAGTAGTAGTATAATTGGTTTTTTTTTAATTTGAAAAAGTAACTCACAGGGATTGTGGTATGCACCTGTAATCCCTGCTACTCAGGAGACTAAGATGGAATCACAAATTCAAAACCAGTCTGGGCAATTTACAGAGACCTTGTCTCAAAAAAAAAAAAAAAAAATACACACACAAAGAATAAATAAGTAAAAAACAAACTCCCCAAAATTCTTCTTAAACATATTTTAATGATTACATAATATAACTCACGTTTTGAAGTTTCATAGGGTACAAATAATAGGTATATATTGTGTTAAACTCTTTCTGCAACACAGTTGTGAAAAATTAAAAGGTCTTATATAATTATAGTAGATTAAAATAAAATGGACTCTTCTTGATTGAACTTGAAAATCTGAAATAATGTTTTTGTTTCATTAATGACTGTTTTGAAAATAGCAAACAAGATTTTCTGGTTGTATGTTTTGATTGTGTTGTCACACTAAATTTCCTGTTAATGGGTTATATCAAGTAATATCTTCTCTTTTTTTTTATTGGTTGTTCAAAACA